TGTGATGAGGGCCTTGGTGACATCGCTCTTATGCACGCCAAGGTTTACTGCTTTGCACACCAGTTTTTGTTCTCCAGACTCGAGGGTCTGGCTTTACAGCGCCTGACGCAGCTTCTTCTCACATGTGACACACCAACGGACCCGTTCTTCCTGGGTCTTACAGACGCCATACGACTCGTTTACGATTCAACACCGAAATCGAAATCGAATGATCCAGCTCGGGAACTATTTTCTCAATATATGGCGCTGAAATACACCATAATATCAGAGGAGAGTCTGAGAGCTCTTATAGCAGAAGGGGGTGACTTTATGATTGATGTCACCCGCAAACTAGCCCGGAGGATATCGATGAGTGGAACATCGACTCAATCTTTAGAAGATCATATTGATGAGCTGGAAATGAATGTCCTCAGGTTAGAGCAGCACGCTGAAAATCAAGCTCGTTTGCTCAAGCGGGCAGAGGAAGAAATCCTGGAATGGGAGAGCTGGAACCGAGGGATTTCATCAAAGCATAGGAAAGCGAGAAGGATGGTGACACCATTCGAATTCAGTGCGACTCATGAACCTTCAGCCTAAGCATGATTCTTACTGTCTGATTGACGGTGCAATACAGTTTGAAGTGATATATCTGTCTATTCTCCAGGACTACAGTAGTAGGAATTCTTGAAAGGTCAGTTGTCTTTTGATCAAAGGCATAGTTGGAAACATACCAGTTGCGAGCTAAGGAATGCCCAAAATCCCGAAGTATCCGCTGGAAAAATACAGTGGATTTCGTAATCAGTTTTAACTCTAAACTCTTACGATTCAATTCCCGGACCCTAAGTGGAGACACGCTAATCTAGTATTAGCTCTTTCCCCGTCAATCCATGTAGGGCTGTATTGTATTCATCGGTATACACAATGTGTCATTGTCATAGTACCGTAATTTGTTGTCGAAACCGATGGAACTCATCGTGCAAACAGATCAAACAAATTGAGAATCCCAACAATCTGGCAAGATCTTCTTTCATTTCTCATGTCTTCGGCTATTTGCCACGCGCAGCCTTCTGTAACTATCCTGTCTACTATTATTAATCACGTCATACGCCCAGGGCTGAGCAGAGCCATGACAACGGGAGTTCCGTTAGCACGCTTCAGTCCGTAACACGATTGGCTCTCGGTGGCAAGTCAGAGTCCCCCCAGTTAGTTGGCAATTCCGGTGGTTGTAAGCTCTGGTAGGCAGAACGCTACGGGTAATGCCAATAGATAAGATGTTGGATCGGAAAAACTTCTACCCGGGGTTTCTTTATAATCCTGTGCAGCCCTTGAAGGGGGTCGTCCCTCTGCAATAATCCCACATTTATTGCCATCTATCTCACTGAAATGGAACTATCAATACGCCCAATAGCCCATGTATGTTTATTCATAGTTTGTTGAATACCATTTACTGACATGACTACGCCAAGCCACAAAGTCGTGACCCTGATGGATTTTTTCCACTAGATGGAAAGGACCTTAATTCCGTCACAGATGAGGCTCTGGCAACTCTTCTCACATCTTCTCCTATCCTCCACCAGCTAGGTGGAACGACAGTTGTGCGGCTTTCAGAGACCTTGATCATGAAGGGTGGCGGGAGTGTCATGGCTAGTGAAGCGGAAATGCTCCGTCTTATTGCTTCCAGAACCACCATTCGAGCCCCAAGAGTCTATCGCTCATTTCAGGTCAAAGATGATACACAATATTTTGGTACATCTGGGTATATTGTGATGGATTTTATCCCAGGTCAACCACTGGATGAGAGCTGGAACAGCCTATCCCGTGACACTCAAGGGAAAATCGCTGCGCAGGTTGCTGAAATAATCCAAGAGATGCAGTCCATTGAGCTTTCACAGCCTGGTCCCACTGGTGGAGGACCAAGTCGGGGTCGGTTCTTCACAGATTATAGTGCGGGGCCTTTTATGGACACTGCTGAAATGGAAGCTTGGTTTAACCACAAGCTAGATATCTGCAAAAGTGTCCATCAAGCCCCAAAAGACATTCCGCCATTCCATTTTACCAAGTTTGTCCTTACACACAACGACATCAGTCCTCGAAATCTGATCTTAGATCAACATGAACAAGTGTGGTTGATTGACTGGGCATATTCTGGTGCATATCCTCCTGTCTTTGAAAGCGCGGCATTGTCAATACAGCCATTTTTCACTGATTTCAATGAAGCGGTGTTATCCCTTATTCCACGTTACCCTGAGGAGGAAATGCAACTTGATTCTATTGCATATGGATTAACCACCGCGGCATTGGCCTAAGGGAGGCTTAAATGGAAGCGGACTACACCCGTCACGGCGAACCCTGTTAGAATTAGCTGGTTGAAGGAATTTTAGTTGGACAACAATGACATCAAAAATTTGCTCAATGCTAGAATCCCTCTTAGTCGTTCGCTTCTAGGGTCGCATATTTAAAACACGTGCAATTGCTAGTTTGTCCACCTAAAAAACAACAGACTTAAAGCATCTCATTCGCCCCCTTTTTCCCTCGGGGACAATACCACCTAGAAGTGGAGATAGGAGTCAGGGCCAATGATGTCTAGTTTGTTCCCAGAATAGCGACACTCAGGCCAAGTTATACTGGAAGAACACAGTACTGAAATTATTGCTAGAATGAAAGGCATTGGTTGTGAATTGAACAGGCCATACGCGAAACTACCTCGGGCATCCGCATCAAAGCAAGCGAATATCATCAATGTATTCACCGGGACATTGTGGTAACCAAATGGGCGCAGTAGTGTATTTCCATCGCCAAATGGGACAATAATGATTCCCGTGTGGTACATGCGCACAGCCGAATGGCGGGCAGGAAGATGGAAAGCTGCTTGCTTCAGTTCGTGAGGGATCCTGAAACGGCGCCCAGAAATGAAGTTAAGCGCGTCTGCGGACTATGCTGTATGGCCCAAACTTATCCGCATGCTAAGTGCTTTACTACCATGCCTAATTTTCACGGTAAAGAGTTCAATTATTCAGCTGTATGTAATGACAGTTTCTTGTCGGTGGTGAAGCCTGGCTCAAATTCAAGAGAAGGGAGGCCGGAAAATAATGGTGGGCACAAAAGTGAGTAGAAAGGACTTTGGGTAACAAAGAAAAGTGTGCAAGATAGCAAGCAATGGACCTGGTGGCCCGAAAGAAAACAAACAAGTAGGAATAATATCGGGAAAGTGGGAAAGAGAAAAGGTGAGGCTCATTGGTAGTAAGCCCCCTGGTCAAGGGGAAGTGGTGTCTGATCTGGCCACAGCTTGAGAATTCCTGCTTTTGCCGCCGCAACCTGGGATGCGTTACCGACAAACTGAAGTTGGTATAAAAGATTAATCTGATCAGTAGTCCAGCATCTGCACCCAACTCCCATTGCATCGAATTCGTATTTATGACGCCCATATCGAGTAATTTCCCCCCAAACTTGCCCCACTGACAGTCCAGGGGCAACATCGAGAATAAATTGAGCCTGGGCATCGGTAGATATTTCGTAAGGCAATTCTGAGATGATGAGGTTGGCCTTGGATCCTCCCCGAAGGACCGAGCTCGGAACAGTGTGGCTTGGCTGGCAATCGATTCGAACCGAGCTTGTGGGGGATGACGAAAGGTAGAGGCACCAGTGATTAGTACCCCCTGCCTTTCGATGTGGAACGGCGAGGATGCGCTTCACTGGCATAGCCAATATTTGAGCCTGGCGACTGGCAGGCACATAGTGAACGGGCTGAAATCCAGACATAGCTAACGAGGCAAGACCAAAAAGATAAGTCAGAATGACCAAACTAACAATGAAACAACAATACAGAACTCACAGGATTTGAGAGAAATTGTACAATCTGTACAAATTAGATCTTGCGGGCGAGAGAACACAAATGGATTGTGAAGGAAGTTGAGGAAAACGCGTCCTTTTAATAACCATAGATCCAAAATGGAGGTCCCTGTTAATTGTCTAAATAAAACTAGTATAAGTCGTTTCATGAGACGCCCATTGCCTTACCCATCGGATAGGCGTCCGAGGATTGATGCTCCTCAGTCCGGCGGTTAGCCAGGTCCCACTAGATAATCACCTTTATTTTGCCTGAGAATTTTATATCAGTAGTTTCAGCCAATGAGAAGTGTAAAATGCACAACAGTTTCCATTATGTAGTATTAGCGCTTGGGTATGAGACCGAGGCGGGTGGATTGGGGATGTGCAAAGCATTTGATTGACACACACAGGACATACTGTACTAAGATAGGCACAAGCCAATAATTTTGCTACTGTAGGCGCTGAACAAAGCGCCTCAACGAAATGCGATATTATAGGACTAATCATTGTAAAGATAGGAATGAAAGACTCGAATGTTCGAAGGGTTTCATCGTCTCGCAAAGCCTTAATGACATTTTCGACAAAGTTACATAGAATGTATGCCTCATCTTTTGAGATGCCGACTTCAACGCTGTGCTTCGCCGAGCTGGTTAGATGTGCTCTCCACCAGAGCAGTCCTTGTGGAACTGGCGGTCATGGTAGACCGCGCAGTCGCATTGTTCAATATTGAAGCCCTCGCATTCTTGAGGGCATATGGCCTATTTTGATTGGCAGTCCTGGATTTCCACCGAGGCCCACTGGTAACCACAGTAAGGTTCAGCGACGTCATTGCCTTGGCTCAATCCGTACGCTGGTTCCAACGTGTTTCGTAGATGGCCTGGGCAGGAAAGTGAAGCGTTGATGACATGCTGAAGCCGTCCTACAGTAGAATTTCGGCACCGTAATTTTAGCTACAGTATCTTTTAAGATTGGCGAGCTCTAAATTTACCAGGATATAATAGTAGCCCTATCATAATTATTCATGAGGCTAAAATTAATCTAGGTAAAAATTATGGAGGCAATAATATTTTAGTCGTTCGGTGTTAGCCGGAGAGATAAGGAAGCGCTAACGATCGATCCAAGAAGTGGGTTCTCTAGGACTCCTTTCTCTACCTTGGAGTAGGAAGGCCGAGTAGTTTGGACATGTCCGGTGTTTAAGCGCCAAAATTTTCGATTTCCAAGCCTGCATGACGAAAATGGCCCTGGGCACTCTCTTCTTTTGCGCCAACCATATTGATGCACCATTCAAGAAAGACGTCAAAACCTTGCTCGGGGTCGTTCTCATAGTGACTCCAATGACGTCTGATAAAACTTTTGAGCTCAGCAAAATACTCTTCGATCGGATTGAGGTCTGGCGAATATGGCGGCAGATAAAGCAATTTCACTTCAGCATCTTCACACATCTGTGCAATCCGTTCTGAATGATGGAAGGAGGCATTGTCCATCACCAGAACAGATTTAGGTTCTGGCCATCTGCCGCAATGATGGAGCAGCTGAGCTATGAAATTTTCGAAAACGACGGCATCTGTAGTACCGCGAAACACACGTGAGAGAACTATCCCATCCTGAGCATACGCAGGCAGTATCTGATATCGCTGGTCGCGTCGAAACTGTGTTACTTGCAAAGGAGCTCTACCAAGAGGTGCCCAACCGGTGCGCCTGAACCCGACCCGTTTATCACAACCGGATTCATCAACATATACCAGGTGATACGACTGAAACGCGGACAGATTGTGTAGGTAATAGTCTCTCAAATCCGCATTCTGCTCTTTAGCGCGCTGTCGCGCGGCCTTTTTGGACCAACCTGTCGCTATAAGGGCTCTTCTAATGCTGGAAGTCGTAATCATGGTTTGAAACTCATCCCACAGGAAGACAGCCATCTCATCGAGATAGAGACCAGGCTTCTCAGAAAGGTGGTCACAAAGAGCTTTTATCATCAGCGGTGTAACGGTTCGCTTTCGGCCGATTCGGGTTTGAGGGGCATAGATGGCTCCAAATTGGCGTAAGTTTCTGCGAATATTAATGATCGTAAGCTTGGTACATTCAGCTTCTTCGGCCATCTGAGACGTTGTAAAGGACTGGCTTTCTATCATATCACGGATCAGATGGAGCTTCGAAGTAGGGAGTCTAGGAGCCATGTCGTTTTGCCTGAGGCGGGTGGTGGCAGAGGAAGGAAATCTGCCTCCTGCCATGGGATTGAGGGGCACACCAGGTAGCAAGCGTATAGCACTTTCCTGTAAAATACATCCAGTGGTGTCTTACAACTGTATTGTAAGATACGTCTACCAGTCTAGAAAGCGGTCTGAAAAGCGGGGCCTTCATCACCTATCCAATCAGAAATCTCAATACTCGGATTTATTTTCCGGGAATCAAGTCACAAGAGTGCAGAGGTATAACTGATTTCGAATACTACTGTACATACTGTACCCATCATTAATTAACGAAGCAGTTCATGCGGGTGTGTTTATCATCCAAGTAGCTGGAACGTGCCCCCTATGCAATCTCCTAGGATCTAGTCTATTGTATCGTAATCTCCTTGACTATTGATATAAAAGATACAGTTTACCCTAGCCTGTTCTCTCCTACCCCTGTTTTCTACAATCTGGATAGCGACGAGCTTTGGAATCCAAACGACTCAATGGACCCTCCTGCTTCTCCTTCACAGTCTGGCCGAGCCAACAAAAGAAAGCGCGAATCTCCAGATCAGTTTGTTATCCCCGTTGTCATGCCAGAGAGATCGGAACAGGTGGTAGGTTCTTTGAAACGAGCGTCACCGGGCGAGACAAAGGTTAGATCTCTCTTTCGCCTCTTATGGCCGGCTCTAACCAAACATCCCAGACAATTCCGACCGGTGCAGCCTGTTCCCTGACTAGCAACATGTC